AGTTTTCCTGGCAAGATTTCTTCAGAGGAGGTTTACCGTTTGCCTTCCTCTGAGCATGAGTGTGACATGCCCAAAATCACCCAGTAGGTTTCCACGGCTGAGCGGGATTCGAACCCTGGACTCCAGAGCTGTAGTCAAACCCTGAATCCACTACACCAAGTTGAACATTGCCGCCTTAAAACAGGGGTGCAAAGCTAGGGAGCTGCATTAGCCCTCCAGGAGATCTTGGCAGCCCAAGCACACTCTCTGCAATTTATCTATTTATTTATCTATCATCTATCTATCTATAGATATATATTTGCCCCAGTGCCCTCAGATGCCTTCTAGGCAGTGAAGAGGAGGATGTCTCGCTCCCCAATATTTCCCCATTGCCAAGTAATCTGCCACCAGGAATGGATAGTTTTGCAGGAAGATCAGATTCACAAGGGTTGCCAGTTCAAGATCATCCCAGGCCCTGAGGTTTCAAGGCTGAAACCTGAGTCCTAGGGAACTTACATGTAATCTCTCTCACTTCCTTCTAGCCAGAAGGCGGATGCAGAGCAGAGTGGAAGGTGGACCCTGGCACCACAATGGCAGGGAAGGAAGGGAGAAGCTAACTAAAAGTCAATACATAGACATGTAATGCCCTGGAGAGTCTTTGCAAAGAGCAAAGTCTTGCAAATTGAAGTCTTGCAAACTGTGGCAAGAAGAGCATTTGAGATTTTACACCCAGCTCTTTCCCTTTGTCTGGAGCAGAGACCACCAAAACTGGAGAATTTGCATTCTTGTCTCCCATCTGGAAATGACTTGTGAAAATTGGAGATTTAGGGCAAGGCCCTGAGATCAGGCAATCCTAAATATTTACTCTTGGTTGTGTGTGTCCGTCCTTCTCATTGAGTATCTCCTTCTCTTTCTCCTGCAGCCCAAGAAGCCAAAGTTTGTCCAAGCTCAATTCGACTTCTCGGCCGAAAATCCCTCCCAGCTGAGTTTCTGCAGAGGGGACGTTCTTGAGATCCTGGACGCCTCCGACCCAAATTGGTGGAGAGGGAGGATTGGGCTGAAAACGGGCCTCTTGCCCCGGAACTATGTTTTCCCCTTGCGTATGTGACCTGAGTTTGCTAAGTGCTGATATTGGAGGCTAAGAGGTTTTGCAGGAGCAGCCAACCAAAACTTCTCCAGAAGTTCTTTGATGGAATATACAAACTCTTGGACTTTCTTCCAGAAAGAGATGAACAGCGATGGGGAAACATTACTCCCACCACAACACAAGACACTCTTATAACTCAGTGATTTTCAACCTCTCCAAACCCAAATCTACATGGAGCAAAAGGAAAGAACTAAGGATGCTTCCAAATAATCAAGATAAGCCATCAAAAGGATATAGTATGGCCAACTTTACCAAGCTCTGGTCCCGTAACTTCCAACATTTCACAGATGAAAACCAGAATGCGTGTGGTCAAGATGGGAAAGAGTTATAAATGAGGAAGAACACACAAAACTAGGGGAAGCTGCAACAGCTTGCTTTTGCCTGAGCCAACAGGGAAGGGGAAGAGTCCAGCCTCTCCTCACTCTTGAGTTCATTGAATGCAAACTAGTTTTTGCATGTTGAACTCAATTTGCAGCAGTTGAAGTAAGCTGAGGACAGAAGGGGAAAGAGGGAGGAGAATTAGGAAACCAGGACATTTTTAAAAGCAGATGGAAATTGGGATGGTAGAGTATTAGTTGGGACTGTCCCTGCCAAACCAGGACAGTTTGGAGGGTATGCTACCCCTGCAATTTAACCAAAGTTAGCCACTGGGCAGCAGAAACATATATATAGGAAAACATCACATACCCTGGGACCTCATTTGCCCCCTTTTGCAGTACTTTTCCTCCTCCATTGCTTACATTTGTCTCCAGATTTGTGCTAGAACAGAGCTTTCCCTGAGAGACTTGCTGGACTCTTCTGAGCAATGGACGCAAGCAAAAACAATTTTCAAGGAGGAGTTTGCTTTTTAACTTCAAACCGAGAATCAAAGTTAAATTACTTTTCTTTTATTGTTGTCTTTGTTTCCAGCCTAGTCGTAACACGGGTGGGGGGAGCTTTTTCACCTCCATTGGGATTTTTCAGATTATTCTAAAGAAATGTGAGTTCCCACTATATAGCTCATTGGTTTTTGCTGTGGTTTTGCTACATATTATTGCCTCCACATCCACTTATTCCATTCTTTGGAAATGTCTGTAGCAATTTCTTGGATCTGCACTAAAGCGCTTCCAAAGTTTCTTTTTTAAAACCATGTCCTATGGTTTGAAGGGCAGGTTTTCTCTACTGGACCCCTGTTGAGGTTTTACATCAGGGGTAGGCAACCTTTCCCCTTTAAGGGTCGAGGGACTTCAGCTCCCAGAAGCCTCAGCCATGTTGGCCAATAGTCCCATGTTGACCAGTAGCTTCTGGGATTCTGGGAGCTAAAGTCCCTTAAAGGGGAAAGGTTGCCTACCCCTGTTTTATATCTTCAGAAGTAGACTTATGCCTGTGGAAATTAGAATTGCGCAGCTTTGTAATAGAGGCAACAAAGTGCCCGATACACCTTGATCAGTGCCGGCACACATTGGTGCGCAATGGACATTGGTGCACAAAGTGCATTGAGTGATGCTCATCATCATTCCCTAGCTGGTCTCCCAATGCATCGATCTTGTCCATCAGTCCCACTGTTATTCGGTTATGTTGCTGTATCCCTTACAAAGTTAATATAGCAGCAGCCCTTTATTGGATACGGACGTTACAGGACCACTCAATTCTTATTTCTGCAGACGTTAAGTCCACTTGCAAAGATGTAACCTCCCTACGGGGTTCTGGCCAACTCCTTTGCCTGATGCAGGAGCCTGTGAGCTTCAAAAGCTAGCATGATGTATTTTGCACCATTTGGTTGTCCTAATAAAAAAGATATCACCCCAAGATGGATTTTGGATTCTGATGGAAGAGGGGATCTTTCCCACAATGAACAGAGGGGCTGCAGGAGAAAATTCCCCAAGGCAAACCTTTCTCTCTCTCCCTTCTGTTTTTTCTTTGCTGAAAACCATCTCTACGTTTCCTAAACGGTTGCATAAGCATTCTTGGGCTGGGTCTGTCTTTCCTCCAAAGGGTGAGTTCTTTATCTCAGGCCATCACAAGGAAGCCAGTATAAACATCTGTGATGGGTTGGGAGCTCCAGAAGTTGCCACTTTGACCTTCTCCAGTCTTCCATCTATTTATAGATTTCCTGCAAAGCCTAACGTTTTGCAGAACATTCTCCGTGTTGCATGGGAACGCACCAGCACTGAGAAGTTCTAGCAGTTTGAGTGACTCCAGTTTACCTGCCTTGATTTCATCCTAGGAAATCGGGGGACTTGGAATTTGGGAAAGGAGTCTTCCAACTCTATGATTCCATGACCTGAGATCTCTTTGCAGGCATTCAGGTTGTACAGCTCCAGCAAATAATTCGAATGCTTAAAGTGGAATCAAGCTGCTACAATGCTTTAGGTAATTCATCACATGAGGCTAAAAAGCAAGATTTTAAAAGGATAAAAGCATCTTTGGCCGGGACTTATCACACGGTGTCATGTCTGCCCTGTTTCTGCTTTGCGTTCCTTTCCTTACTGTTGTGCACCTTTTCACTGAAGGGGAAAACCTGTCGATTGGCTCTCAATCTCCCTGCTATTCCATGACAGCCTTTGTGCGATAGGTCCCTTCCGCTTCAGTTCTGCTTCCCAGGCAGTCATGTATTATATGTGGATGTGATTGTGTTCCTATCTGCCTCTGCTGCTTCCCCCTTGCAGCAATTGTGCTGCCAACCTTTTCTCAAAGCCAGCCGCTGTGTGCATATTCATGCAGCAGCCGGATTTGGGAAGGTATTGGCAGCTGGGATTGCTCTCCCAAAGCATGGGACTTGCTGCAGAAAGAAGTCGGGGGACAAGCGATCCCGGCTGCCAACACCTTCCTGAAACCGGCTGCTGTGTGCAAATTCACACAGCAGCCATTTTCGGGAAGCGCTTGGCTACCGTGGCCACTTGTCATCCTCCATTTCCTCCTGGAAGGTAGCATTTTGCAGCACGGAAAACAGACCATGCAACCATGGATCGCCAAAGCCCTATTGTGGGGGAAACTGTGATAAGAAATGATGCCAAACCAGTATTCTTCCATTCGTAAACTAGCATGATTGTGGCAGGACAACAGGCTGCTGCGATAACATCCAAAGGCCCCAGTCTCTTGTTTTCTTGGACAACCACACACCAGATGCCGCTTAAGCAAAATAAGCGTAGAAAAAGACGTTGACAGAGATGAGGATGATGGCGTTTATGCCGCAGATCCGGTTCCAGAAGATGGATTCCGTCATGTCCCCGTGGACTTTTTCTGGTGCTTTTTTGGCTTCCATAAAACAGGGTCTGCAGACCATTGCATGGCAGGAATTGCCGCACGGTTGCCTTTCCGGAGGACCTGCGAGGAAAAGATAGGAGGGAAGAAGT